AGCCTCTCCTCCTTCCTCTCTCACGGAGCCTTCACCCAGGAGTCTGGTTTTCGCTAAGAGCAGCAGATTCACGCCATAGCGTCTCTGTTTCTCAGCAGTCAGTGCAGTCCTTCCATCTGGTCTGTTGGCATCATTATCAAGAAGTCCTGACATTCCATGTTGCAATTTCCTCCTGAACACACACAAACTGCCATTCAACACCTTTAATATCTAACATGTCAAATCATTTCCAGTTGTTTTTTGTCTTTGTTTGGATTGTTTTTTTGCGTGCATTTTCACTACATACTGTTGTGTCTGATATTTTACCTGTTACGTGTTGCACCACTAACCAACTAAAGAACCACTCAGCCATGCATTAAATAAAATAGGAAATGAATACAGGTAATTTTTGACACATGTGCATTAGAAGGGGTTTGCATAGCTTGTGCATCAAAGGGTTAACATTGTTTCTGTCCACCATTTTATTTTACCCACTATAAATTGAGAGCAACACATTCATCCACTTCTCATTACTGGCCTTGAGAATGTGCTGTCTTTAACTGATGCTACACTTGACACGTGTCTTGAACTTGCAATGACAGTCTAACAACTTTATGTATGTCACAATGCCGAAACAAACCCTGAACTTTTTTAACAAACACAATAGCTGTAACCACATCAGCATCAGAGGTTCTCTGCTACTATATCTGCTACTGTATATACGCTAACATGCTTACAACTACAATAATAGCATGTGGACGAACCGTAAATGTTTACCCTTTCACATCTTATTTAAAAAAATAAGATGTGAAGGTAAATATGGTGCAAAATGCCAGAGCTTGTAGACTTGATGTGAACTCTTGTAGAATACGATGTGAGAACTTGTAGAACAAAACTATGTACTTGTATATTAAAATTTTCACTTGTATACAATATTCACACACATGTGAGTTGAATTTGAAGTCACAAAAAGAAAAAAAACACAGGAGAGCTTGTAGAAAGAATCTGAAGTTGTATGTTGAAATTTTCACTCCTAGAAAATATTCTGAAGATGAAGTCACAGAAAAAAATATGCACACACGTGTAGATTGATGTTTACATAAAAACAATGACAGCTGCAAACTTGTAATGCAACATTACTCATAGTATTTTTTTTACTTGAGTCCTTTTTCCAGTACAACCACAACTCTGTGATTACAACCTCTAGAATTGGTCTCTGCAACTTCACAAATGTGCTCTCTCCTGTTTCCTGTGATGAATTTGTGCGCCTGGAATTTTGCTACTTTTCTAGCAATAAATGTGGTACAAAATAAACTTGCAGTTGTAGCTGGGAGGGGGGGAGAGGAGCAGGGGGGGAGGGGATGAACCAATGAGAAATCAGAAGACAAAGCGCTCTTTTCTGTTCTCCATGTCGGTGGAGATCGGCGATGGCACACCAAGCCAAGGTAAGTTTCTTTTAAATACATGTTTGATAGGTTAGTACTGTGATTAAAGGCTAAATAAATGCCACTAACACCTCACATTCCTTTTAACGTGTAACACTGTTAGTGGCAAAATGAAAGTGAATGTGCACTTTGGCTAACGTTAGCTGTGTTAGTTAACAAAATGTTATATCTAACATTAGCATAAAAAACTGAACATTAACGTTATTCAGATGCAGTCGAGATTTCAGCTTTATTACGGAAAGATCGCCTTTCATGGCATTTATATTTTAGGAAATCACTAATAGAAAAAAACGTTTCCATTTTTTTATAACGTTACTCAGTCAGTGATGATAAACCTTTCACAGAGACGTCGAGCTGGGCTAATGTTAGAGATCTGTATCGCCAGTGCTCTCTGCAAAGAAAAAGGTTTTTGAACACGTGTTGAATTGAGGTTAGATTGTAACAGAAAAGTTTTTTGACTTTAACAACAGAGTATAATAATCTAATGTATAGAAACACGTGTAAATTCAGATGTTTGGAATTCTCTGAGGCATGCTCAGAAGGACTGTTTTTGGATAAAAATTGACAACTTAGATGTAAAAATAAAGACATGTAATAAAAAGACAACATCAAGTTATCTTAGTAATTAATACTGTATTTTGTCTTTGGTAAACTGATTGAATGTCAGTGTCAGGCAGTGCATGACATTGCCCACAACAACCAGCCAGCCTGCAGAATATATTGGCCTCTGAATAAGTAATAAAGTAGCCCAACCTTTACTACAAAGTGAAAACATTTAGTACTCTGAGAAAATCAAAGGCAGCACAGGGCAAGTGATGCAAACAGTGATTGGTTATTTTTTCTTATATACATTCTATGCATACTGTAACTCTCAGCATCAATGTGTATGGACCTTGGTATCATTACACATTGTAAGTGTGTCTTTTCTTCTTTAGATAACCAGATTACTTCTTGAGGAATACCCCAAATTGCGACAGTTGCATGGCGGTTGGCTTTTACAAAAAGCCACAGGTGAGATTATAACACCACACATGTTTGCTAATTTACACAGGACAGAAGCCACACCATGGTCAGTACTTCATGTTTTAAAACTTCCTAAAGAATACTGACGTTCCATTATAGGCTTCTTTAATAAATTCTTTTTTTCTTTCAAAGGAGGCAGTGGACAAAGGAAGATCACTGGAAAGAACATCTTCTATATTGTCCCCCTTCAGGAAAAGATTGACACGACCCCCTTGCCATATGATGCACCTGAGTTTCAGAATATGCCAAAAAATGACTGCATGACCTGTGGCACATCAGTTCCTCTTCAGTTGCTGACTTTGCACATTGAATCCTATCAGTGTGAAGATAATGTAAGTGATCAGATTTAATTCTGTGGCAAAGAACAGTAGATTCCCTGTGTTATTTGCGGCTTATTATCTATACCACACCTATAGCTTTAAAATGTATTTGGATTGTGTTCTGCCTATTATAGTACTGTAGTTACTACATATTTGTTTAAAAATGATAATGATTGTTTTTTCCCCATTCCTGGTGGAGAATTTTGAACTTGAACAGAAGATGAGAAAGGCCAGGAACCGGATGTTATTTGTATGGTAAGCAATTATTCAGATTAAAATGATCAAAGTAACAAGCTCAAATCAAAGTTTCCTCGTGAACTTTAATTGATTGAGTCCAACATTCAATTCCCACTGTAAATAGTCAGTAATGTTAATAATAGGATTTATTACAATCTGTGAGTCATTTCAATTTATCAAAAAGCTACCGGCCCGGATAGCCAGTAGATGCAGTCACCCTTGCAGGCATCATACTCTTTTTCTTTTTCTCTACAAACTGGTATGTGGCTGTCCAACAGGTAAAAACTACATAGAGCTGTGTAAAAAATCAAGTAGAATCTTTTTTAAAGTTATTGAAACATATACCTCATTGTAACAGAAGTAATGTGATTCTACAAACAACCTTGTATATGTTTTTACATTTAAATAAGTCAATCAAATCATTGTATCCTATAGTTAAATGATCCAGTTAATTAACTCAGTACCAGTTCATATAGCCTACAGGTACTACTATGTAGCAGGTGAAAAAAAACCTGCTTTGCCCTGCCTTTGTCATGTGTTGCAGGCATGCCCCATGTGTTCCTGTAATATTCAGGTATCCAATGTTGTGTCATGCAAGCCTAGTTGATTTAGTGTTATCCTGAGCCTCACTCTGACTCCCCAGGATTCCTGCCCAATATGTGGAGATCAGTTTGCTGCTGAAGTGACGCCCCTTCATGCAAGTTCATGTGGGGAAAGGTATTTTCAACATGTCATTGAAGTATCAGCATTAGTTGACACCTAATATTACAAAATAACAAGTGAAACAAGGCCCTTACCTCTAATACAAACCATTGGAAAGTCCCTGAACACAACACTTTTCTGGTTTTAAGTAGCTTCAACATAGCAGAATACTGCAGTATGGTCCTACTAAAATCTTGGCCCTGAGATAGCATCAGAGACTGAAATCAACGAAATTGAAGTTTCCATTAAATGCAGACTTAAGGCGTGTTCTGCATTAATTGTAGTTTGAGAAAATACTGCAGTGACTTGGTTTTATTACTCTTCATTTTGTGCCTTATCGTGATAGTTATCGATATCGAATGATGTGAAATTATTTTATTGTGATAACATTTTTGGCCATATCGCCCAGCTCTACCCCCTCTAGAGTATTATACCCTTGTAGAAACACAATTCTGAAATATTTTTCAGCATGGAAGAGGGTTGAAGTACAAGAAAGGGCAGCGATCCTATACAGAAGGTATTTGCTACAGCAAAAAGAAGATGAGCCAACACTGAAAGTGAGAATTGACATGAGAGAGGAAACTGAGGATCAGGAGGGAAGACTAATCAGCTTTTACAAGGTCCATAAAGTAGATTGGGCCAGACCACTCCAGTGCAGATTGGAAGGTAACTTAACTTAAACTGAATTACCATGTAGCAACTTCAATTACCAAGGAATAAAAAAAAAGAAAACCTTGGAAGGAACAAATTGGACAAATACTAGGGTGGGCATTGACATCCGGGAAACAATACATCTGGTAGGTTTAGAGCCAAATGTAAAGTATGGATGCCACATGAATACACAAAAGCATGTCACAAAATGTATATACCTTCTCTCAAACTTATCCATTAAGCTTACTGTAGCTGATGATTCTAAGAAGGCAGACAATGAGAAGAAAAGAGACAGTGAGCTGACCAGATCAGGATCAGAGGGCCGCTGTTAACCAGTTGGCATTCTCTTGGGACCTTCCTGAATTGACAGCAAGCAACCATGTCTGGCTTTTACAAAGTCTTCTGTTGTGGGGACAGCCCAGCTGATGGTGAGTGTCCTGGTTTCCCTTTTCTTTTCTCACTTTATTTCACCCATTGTTTTGCTCTGCCTGCCTCCCTGTGTTCTCCTCCTCTCTCCCTCGGCTCCTGAGCCCAGCCAACTACCTACACCTGCACCTCATCAGCCTGCCACACCTGCCAGTAATCAACCTCATCCCTGCCTGTATTTCAACCCCGGTTCTCCACACCATCCTCGCTTGATCGTCGTTGCTCCTTACCTGGTGCCACCTCTACGTTCAGGCTCTCATGTTTCTTGTTTTTTCTCATATTCCCTGTATTCTGTCGCTCCAGTCACTAACCCTGTCTTTCTGTCTGTTTTCCCTCCCAGGTTCACTCACCCTCGTCCTCCGTTCAGTCGGCTGGGCTCATCCTCCGGTCCTCTCCTCTCGGTCTTCCTCCACGGCGCCCTCCCGGCTCCTCCCTGCTCCTCGCCTCACCACCCATGCTTCGCCTGCTCCTCGGTCCTCCGTGCCCGCATCCCCTGGTGTCCACCTCTCCTCCCTCACCTCTTCCCTAGCCCCCTCCGTGAACCCTCAATAAAACCTCCTTCCCTCTGAGTGTTGCGTTTGGGTCCTTTCTGTCCCGTCTCCTAACATCTTCTTCAGCATGCGGTAAGCTCAAACGACCAATACTCTTTAAATACATTAGGAAAGGGATTGCTCTGTTTTGGTTGGATTTACATTCATCAACTGTTAAACTGTTAAATATCTATTTCTGAAATGTACAATATTTTACTACCTAATTATGAATTTTAAGCCACCCTAGGTGCATATGCACATCTGGAATGTTTTACAAATACGTGCTTCTATATTTTTGTATATCCTTACACCTTGAATGAATTAACAACTCTCTAATATCTATAATATATGTAGGTGTTCGGGCGAACCTCGCAACAAATAAAACAGCTGAGGCAGGGATTGCAAAACTCCATGTTGTTGCCACTGTTGGAGGCCAGGCCAGATGTAGTACCATTGGTTTTTCCACGTCAATCAATGGTTGAATGCACTACTCAGGTATTTTATTTCCTCTTGCCCACACAAACATGACTAATGGTGGCTTAAAATCGGCAAAGCGTCCCTTCAATTAATCTATTTTGCTCTTGTGTTCAATTCAGTCATTCTTCAAATGTTACGTTTAGATGGTTCTAGACAATCTGGCCGGTAGAAAGGGAAAAGGAGGATGACGATGAATGCCCTGTTGCAAACCAATGCAGAATTGCTGGCTACCTACCCCAGTTTGTGGAGACCGGTATATTGTTTTTGTGCTCTCCTGTGAGGATCCATATGTTCATTATAGAACATATTGAAAGTAATATATTTACAATAATAGTGAAGACTTTAAAAAAACTATGAAATAACATGCAACATTATAAAGTGACCAAAAAAGTGTTTAAATCAAAATTGATAGATTGTAGCCTCCTTTTGCCTTGATGGAAACTCAAAGGCTGTTTCTGAAATCCCCTCATTCACTACTCCCTACCCCCTATGCAGGCAGTTGTATGTAGATCACTATATAGTGAGCTCACTCGCATTATTAAAACAGCACTTTCGGACACTACCCGATCGTTATTTTGGCGCCGTTAATTACGTCATTGCCGTCGGACAATCAGTTCTTTTTTTTTTTTTTTTTTTTTCTATAAGCGCAGTGCATGATGGGGTGTGTGTGTGTGTGTGTGTGTGTGTGTGTATACAGCTTGGTTGGTGACCATCGGTTGTACACTACTTTTCAAAATGCATTCTGGGATACATTGAGTGCACTATATAGAGTATAATAATTATCACTATACATTCGGACAGCACTACAAAATGGCGAGCTCACTATATAGTGGACTATATAGTGAGTAGTGGGGGATTTCGGACACAGCCAAAGGCTTTAGAAAGAAATTCATACATAGGCAATAATTTAACTATTTTTAACAAAACTAATTTGAAGCATTTAAGCAGAGGACTAAAATATAGAAAAACAACATTCAATCAGGTGTGTCCAAACCTCTGACTGGTAAGGTTTCTTATTTTTTTTTTTTTTTATTTTATGTGAGTGCAACATCCATGTAGTAATCGCAATATACTTTCTTTTTTTTGTGGCATCACCTGCCATGTTTACATTTATGTATCCTAATTCCAAATACCCTGACTTCACAAGCTAAATATTTTCTGTTGCTACAAGACTTAACTATTGAAGAAAGTGGACAATGCATCTGTATTGCAAACTGAGTCTCAAAATCACAATTTCATTGATTAACATTTGTTCTCCTCTCTTCCATTGGTGTAATTATTGACCTCCATTCCAGTGATTCAAGACAAACTGAAGCAGCTGGTAAAATTCTGGGTGGGCTGGGAGCTGCCCGTGGAAGTTGTGCAGGCAGACCATCCAAGATCATCCACCTGTTTCCACATCCTGCGCTTGCCTGGTCACTACACCGGTTATGAAGAGTTTTGCAATCATCTGGAAGGTTGCATTGCAACTAATGATTGTGGGTTTGGACTAATATGAAGTCTGAGTTTTGCTGCATACCATTGTTAGGGCACACTGCACATCACCCATGCATGTTTAGAAAGTGTGTAGTTTGTGACATAAATAGTCAGTAGATGGCAGCCTTTTGTGTTCTATGAGGAACAAGTTCTAAATTCATGAGGTCTCTTCATTTTCTGGTTTCCTTTAAATTGAATCTTTACATTGATTCACGTATCAAATGTTTACAGCCTCGAAGCCCATGAGGGATTCTGAAAACACAACTATATCATTTAAAAAAAGAGAAACGACTGTTTTTTTTTTTGTTGTTTTTTTTTAAACACAAAAATAGAATATGCTTGAAGTATAAAAGTGCATGCTGGCTGAAAGTTGCTGTCAAGGAGCGATTACAGAGTCCCCTCTTGGCCATGTTCTGTGCTCTCCCTGGACTAGGTTCTTTTCTTAGCTGAAAATCTAAGACTGTTAATGGAGTCACTGATCTACTAGACTAGATTTGGTGAAGGTAAAGTTTTGTCAGTTTCAAGAAAATAGGAAATGTTGTAAAAGGTCACGGTGATAATAATCAAGTCATAGTTGAGCATTCTGTTATGTGCCTCAAACTCAATACTTATATCTCAAAGTATAATAAAGTTGAACGAAGTATGTACCAACTTTGGATGTGAGAATTAGAGGGACTGACTTTATTGCCATCTCTGCTTTCATGACAACAATGTCACTTACAAATCTACAAAACTTATGCCAGTAGTCACTATTTCATGTCATACAGAGTCATGTACATACAGTGTGTGTGTGTGTATGTGTGTGTATATATATATATATATATATATATATATATATCCCCAAGTATATTTACCATTCTGACCAACATTATAGTTTGAACTGATAAACAGGTCAGGAATCACAAGCATACTTAATGTAATTGTAAGTGTAAATGTATGTAAGCAAAGAATAGATAAACAATGGGAATAACAAAATGTTTTATTTTCAGCTATCACACAAAATTCAATCACACTGCAGTAATAAGTTTCCTTCAAAGTCTTTAGTCCTTGCTCGTGAACTCACCCATCAAGCTAACACAACATTTGTATAGGGTTGTTTTTTTTTCTGTGGGATATGAGAAGCAGTTCATAGAGATAAGCCTACACATAGCCAATGCTGTGCATATACTCTAGTGCAGCAAAGTATCTGTCAACTCCCATGCATGTTGAGGGTCCCATTGGGTCCACGGCAGCACGAAGTCCAGCCAGGTCTCAGTGGGCAATCGCACTCAGGAAAATATACACCACAGTTGGGATCAGAGGGTGTAAGGCCACTACTCTCCCAGTCAATGAGAGGGATGCGCAAATCCTGAAAGTTAAGTAATTATTTCTCCTGCCTCACTCCATTCTCTGCTGAGCATATTTGAAAATTACATACCTCGTCATTGTACTCTTCAGAGTTGTGTAGTTGTCCCATGTGCCACAGTTGGTTGGGAGTGAGATTTCTCTCAGTTGAAAGGGGATGATTGTCCCAGCCATCAAGCTGGGCTTGCAAGCGGGGAATAAAGACGTAATGGCAGCAGAAGAGGTGAAGACTACTGGACAGGTCAAGGAGACCATCTTCCACCAGCTGGTGCAGTACATTGTAGAAGAGGCAAGTGACCGCTCTGAAGACATCTCGCCAGAGACGTTCGATTCTGTTAAACGCACATAATTTAGAATTAGAATTCTTCTAGTTAATTAATTATTAATTCAGAATTTAGAATACTTGCCATAATACCAAAAACAAGTAAAGTAACCATTAGCCAACTGAATAATTACTGTAGAATGCCAATAAAAGAAAAACATGCCATGACAGCAATAAAAACATCAAAGACTACTGGTTGCAATATAATACCTCTGTATTATCAATACAAGACAAGCTGAAATGGAAAATACTGTACTCATGTTGGGGGAGTAAGAGAAGAGAGGAAACACATATACATACATGCATACCCCCCCCCCCCACACACACACGTAAGTATGTATGCATGTATTTGTGTTTTTTCGTGGTTACCTCTGATTATGCACACTTTTCCCTGCAATGAAGCTGTTCCTCTCAGTTCCTCGGATGGAGAACATAAGGTGGGCCACATCAACATTTTCCACCCCATGGTCTCCCCAAACCCTTGAAAAGTGAATGTGCCAGAACAAAAGGCTGCATTTGCAATATTTGACATAACTTAAATCACAACTTTAAGTTAATAGGTGAAGTGTGTTATAGTTAAACATATATATCAATTTAAATGTACAACATTTACCTTTGTGGTAAGCCATGCTTCTCAACAGCTTCACTGAAGAAGGCAAGGGTAGTGGAGGCCTTGTTATTGGCAACACTGAGATACATTATCTGCGGGAATTATACAGAAAACTCCCCATCAAACCCTGAACCACACATTTTTATGTTATAAGTTTGATTTAGGTAAACGAAAACATGACACAAAACACTGAACTTTTAACTACATTCATTGGGTGTCCATATTAAAATTATAAAAAGATATGCTGTAAAAAGGGCTTTCATTTATTACTATTATTAGTGATTATCACTACCTTCCTTGAGAAGCCATCAATTCCTCCGAATATCACCACATTGTACCTAAATTGCCATGGGGGAAGAAAATAGGCATAATCATATCGCCTATTTTAATACAATGTGGAGAAGTCCTGCAATAGTTTTCTATTTGACTAACACAACCAACCTTATAAGTTTGTGGTTTGTGTCAATATGCATCAGCGACTTGGGACCTAGGACAGAGTATGTCCTGCAAACCACACACCGCAACTGTGACATTCTTGACACAATCCCTACAGTGTCAACTCTGTGCATTGATGCACGAATCCTCTGCCACTGTACTCGATGTCCCTGTGCTTGCAGAAGACCCAACATCATTCGGTACCCAGCATTTGGGTTGCTGGAGTGGATGGCTGATACCAGAATGTCAAGTTCATCATCATTTAATCCACTGAGCGATGCACCTCAGTAATAGCATTGTAGATTGCTTGACGGATCTCAAGCTGGCTTGATAGTGCGCTGAGTACTACCAGCTCCTATGAACATACAAACTCTAGGTAATCTAGGTCCAGAGGGGCACGTTCAAGGCAACTTGACAGTCTGTTGTAGAGCCTGTCCAGTAAATGACTGAGCAGCATTTCCTAGATGAGAAAAATCAGTGTTACAATAATGTCTGTAACATTATGGGATAGACAACCATATGTCATGGGTGTCAAGAGTGACGTTATGCATGTTATTAATTAAAACCTTAATCCACTGACACTGACACTGAATTAGCTTCGGTGTCGGAAGACAAGGTGCAGAGCAGGCTTAAGCGGAAGGATGAGGTTATTAAGTTTATAACATTAGTAGCACAATCACTTGTTCCAGTGCTAACTTTTCGAGTTTCGAGTTAGCCTTGACCTTAGCTAGCAGACTAAGTTAAGTAAAATAACTTCTTGGTAACATTAAGTCTTAACTTTAACTAACGTACCATGAAAGGCGATCTTTCCGTAATAAAGCTGAAATCTCGACTGCATCTGAATAACGTTATTGTTCAGTTTTTTATTCTAATGTTAGATATAACATTTTGTTAACTAACACAGCTAACGTTAGCCAAATTGCACATTCACTTTCATTTTGCCACTAACAGTGTTACACGTTAAAAGGAATGTGAGGTGTTAGTGGCATTTATTTAGCGTTTAATCACAGTACTAACCTACCAAACATGTATTTAGAAACTTACCTTGGCTTGGTGTGCCATCGCCGATCTCCACCGACATGGAGAACAGAAAAGAGCGCTTTGTCTTCTGATTTCTCATTGGTTCATCCCCTCCCCCCCTGCTCCTCTCCCCCCCTCCCAGCTACAACTGCAAGTTTATTTTGTACCACATTTATTGCTAGAAAAGTAGTAAAATTCCAGGCGCGCAAATTCGTCACAGGAAACAGGAGAGAGCACATTTGTGAAGTTGCAGAGACCAATTCTAGAGGTTGTAATCACAGAGTTGTGGTTGTACTGGAAAAAGGACTCAAGTAAAAAAAATACTATGAGTAATGTTGCATTACAAGTTTGCAGCTGTCATTGTTTTTATGTAAACATCAATCTACACGTGTGTGCATATTTTTTCTGTGACTTCATCTTCAGAATATTTTCTAGGAGTGAAAATTTCAACATACAACTTCAGATTCTTTCTACAAGCTCTCCTGTGTTTTTTTTCTTTTTGTGACTTCAAATTCAACTCACATGTGTGTGAATATTGTATACAAGTGAAAATTTTAATATACAAGTACATAGTTTTGTTCTACAAGTTCTCACATCGTATTCTACAAGAGTTCACATCAAGTCTACAAGCTCTGGCATTTTGCACCATATTTACCTTCATAAAAATAAATGCTGACCTGAAGATAGCACACATAACAAGTCAGGGGAACATTGTTATTACAATTCATACTCTTGGGACTACAAATGTCTGGACAGATGGCAGTGGATTTCATGGCAATCCATCCAAATTGGTGGCGCGACCGACAGACCAACGTTGCCATCCCTAGAGTGATGCAGCTAGGGTGGCCCAGTATTACTGATGTAAACAAATATTAGCAAACAGTCTGTGTATTCAAAGATCTAACAAACAAAGCTCTGTTGGAGTCTCACTTTTTAAAGTAAAATGTTTTAATCATGGATTATACATATGCAAAAATCATTAGAACACACCCTCCATTATTTGTTACATGGCATATAGTGGTAATGGAGAAAGCTAATGATATGCTAGTCGTGTAGCAGATTCCACATTGCTGCCAGTTTGAGGTATAGGTCATAGTAATGAAGATGGCCCAGACATTAGCAGGTTTTTGTCTATTTCCTCAAATTCCTAAACTGATTTAGAGATGCAGCTACATGCTTCCAGCTGTGTGTCAGTATTCAATCACCCACGCTGTTTTTGTGGAGCGTTTGGGCAGAGGTGACTGACACACGCTTATATACTGAACAGAAACCTTCAGGCATATAACAGACATCTTGTTGTAACTGATGGGCAAAAGCTGCACAGTTACAGAGCAAGAGTTCACAGATCACTGCTTAAGCTGTTTGGCAGCCAAGAGAGTGAGTTTGATGACATGCAAGCTGCATAAAGATGTTTCCTGGCACAAACAGTTTGAGTAAAATTTTAGACTTGCTAAAGATTGAAAGAGCTGCTGGGTTATTCAGGATACATATTAGACTATTCCTGATCCGTCAAGCCTATAAATGCATATATTCAGCAGTAGATGGATCAATAAATGCAAATTACTTCTCCAATGGAA